TGCTTAAACCAGTTAGTGTGGTATCTTGATAAAATATTTACTGCTTAATAGTAATGATATATTGCGTTTAAACTTTTTGTTTGATGATGCCTATTTATTTGATTAAAAAATTGTTTGGTAAAATGATAAATGATTAAAACACATATTGTTAATATTGTATTAAGCTTATTCTAATTTGTTTTATGTGAATTATTCTGATTATTCTGGTTTCATTAAAATACTTAATAATAAAACGTTTTAATATAATATGTAATTTTGTTTTACAATATTTTAATAAAAATAATAAATGAAATTAGATTTAGTATCATGTTACAATAATAAAAAATTACGATAATAAAAATTTTAGTATACTTTATAAAAAAAAATACATTGTCTCTATTAGTATAAGTAAAATTTTAGAATAAATGAAAATATTTATTTTAGAATATTTGTAATTAAGTAATTTTATTTTACAATTAAAATAATATTTGAACCAAACTGTAAGTTTTTAAATTAAAAGGGACTAAAAATACTAGGACTTATTTTCCAGGGACGAAAAAGGGACAAACGTGATAACTTTGAGATTTTATACTTATGCACGATGGAAGAACATTAAAATGAAAAAACTCAATTTCTTCATCTGTGTTCTCAAAAACCGTCTTCCAAAACTTCTTATCATTTTCGGTTTTAAACACTCCATCAAAACCCTAACTTCTTGTGCTCTTGAACTCGTCATCTTCGATTTCTCCCTGTATCAATTTCAATTTTTGATGTTGTGAATCCGATTTTCACTTTATAACATCGATAAAATCCTAAACTTAATTTCATTCTTATCGAGTATTTCTTATCAACGAAAATGGCTACATCAATGCGTGCTTCAGAATCTACACCATCAGATCACCTAAATGCCATTATTACCAAAACTTCTCAAGAAATTCCAGGTATTTTAGTTCTGTTAATTATCATTTATATCCCTGAGTTTGTTTGAAAACGACGATATATCTTTGAGAATTGACCTTTTATTGTTCCTCCAGTCTCCATATCTACATACTAATAATTAGGGCATCGGGCTCTTGTTTCTTAGTGAATATGGGCGTTTTTGTGTTGTTTGAGTATGTATTTATAACAAAAATATGCCCCTACTTATATTACATTTAATACATTCTGATGTGGGATTCTTTGGATTAATGATAAATAAAGCTTTAGCCTTTCATCTATTTGCAGGGGCATTCAGTTTTGATTTCAACCAAACACATTTATTTATTACTTTTGAGATTTTGTGTGTATGTGAAAAAGGAAATATACACAAGTGCTTTCAAGGCAGATATGAAAAGAAACATTCTCATGGTATTGGTCCTGGTGGTCTTGGTCTGAATAAGAATAATAAAGTTTTTCCATTAAACAATTGCATATTATGTCCTGTAATAATTCAGAACTTGATCTGAATTAGTATATAACTCATCACATAAACAAAAACAAAATTGTGTAATTAACAATCAAGTTATTATATGTGTTTTCTGCATTTTCTGATAAAATAGAGAGTTATCATTCCACTTTTGACATCTTACTATGTGATTCAACTTCTAACTGTTCTTTTACACAAAACTTTAATCATTATATAAACTTTATGCATGGTTAAGTCAAGCATCACTAGGGTAAGTGGATGGAAAAAATACTATGTACAGGGACATATTCATCAATTTGCTTCTGTTTTTAATGTGTATGTATGTAACTGTGTTTATAGAAAATTCGAGTAATTTTAATCTCATAAAGAAACAGTGCAGGGGCATATTGGTCAATTTGCTTTAAATTTATTATGTGTATCTTTATATGTTGTTTTCTTTGTGTGTATGTATTATGATGAGTTAGAATATAATTTTGAAATAAATGTAAGTGTTTTTCTATTACAGATTACATTTAAATTGTATTTAACATTAATTATTTTCATGCAGATAATATTATAACAAGAATGACAAAATCAAAAATAAAAATGATGACACTGGGTAGAAGTAGTGAAGTTGAAACTTCAACAGGCAAACAGTTGGTTCAAAAAAGAAAATCATCGAAGTCGATCAATCAATTAACAACTACAACATCAAAAGAAAAACAAAAAAAAGGTATATCATCAATTATTCTATTCTAATAAAAATATTTACCTCATTTATTTCTGTTATTCTATGTATTATAATAAAATATTCTATATTCTATTATTGTTTTTCTATATTCTATTAATTTTATTCTAATATAATATTTTTAATTGTTAATCTAATTTGTTTCTGTTATTCTATATACTTTAATAAACTATTCTATGTATTATAATAAAATATAAAAGAATAAATGATATATTGTGTATTCAATGTTTTCTAATAAAATATTTATCTCATTTGTTTATGTTATTCTATGTATTACAAATAAAATATTCTATATTCTATTAATGTTTTTCTATGTTCTATTAATCTTATTCTAGTAGAATATTTTTAAATGTTACTCTAGATATTTGGATATGATAAATCAATTATTATTTCCTAATTTGATTATGAAAATGACAATAAACAGCAAGAAGGTTGTATATGGATAAAACTCATGAAAAAACTTCAATAGCCGAACGACTAATTGAAAGAAGAAAATCATTGAAGCTTATTGATGAATCAGCCAATACAACAGCAAAAGCCAAAGAAAAAAAAGGTATATCATCAATTATTGTATTTGTACTATAATATCTTGTGTATTAATGTTATTCTAATAGCAAGAATGTCATATATAGATAAAATTCATATTTGTTATTATTGATTATGCATTTACAATTAGAGTTAGCATAAGCATTTTACATCATTATGATTTTATACTTTACAATTCCAATATTATGGAACAATATTATGTTTGACATCAATTGCTTATGGATCATAACTGAAAATTCTTGGTATTTTGATGTGAAAGTATTTTCTATTGTTTGTTGATGTGAAAGTATGTTTCTATGATATGAAATATTTATGGTTCATATTACACATTCTATATATTATTATATCATAAATCATGTTATACTTGATTTTTTTGTTGTTTTACTTAGCTGATATAGGATTTTGCAACATTTGAGTTTAAATTTTTATAAATAATATATTTTGAATAAATATCTACATTTTACTTAGATGATATAGTATTTTTGGATTAAATTTCATAGAATATTCTGATATAATAAGTGTATATGTATAATATTCTGTTTGGAATATTACTTTGTAGTGACAAAGATTAAAGAAGGAAAACGGAAGACGAATAGTGGGGACAATCGTGCAGCAATAAAGAAACAAAAAACCGTGAAAGAGCAAAAGACTGTGAAAGATATATTGAAGGAGTTGCCTTCAATAAACACTAGATCGACACCTGGATTGATGACAGATGCTGTAAGTTCTTTGACATCAGAACAAAAAGATTGGGTGAAACGGATGGGATTTAAAGCCTTTTTGAAGATCAACATTAAGAGTATTCCCTTAAAACTTTGCCATTTTGTGCTTAAGCATTATGATGAAGGCACAAACAGTATTCTGATTAAAGGAAAAAGAATAAAGATCACAAAGGAAAAAATTCATAAAGTGTTTGGTTTACCCAAAACTGGAAAAAGCTTATTTGATTTGGACAAGGTTAGTGAAGATCATCAAGTGTTTGATGGATGGATGAAGGAACTTGAATGGAAAGGCAAATGCAACAAACTACAAGAAGATTATTCAAAAATCCGAACAAGTGGATATGAATTTCAAGCTGGGTTTCATAGCTTTATTCGTTAATACGTTTGCAGAATCCATTCCTATGGGGACAAACAACTTAGTTCCAGTTAGAGCACTTGTTGAAGTAGATGACATTTCTAAAATCGATTGGTGTGCATATTTGTTGTACTGTGTGAAAAATTCAAAAGGGAGATGGCGTCCAGACAACCCCAAGTGTTATTATAAAGGCCCGATGTTGTTGCTATTGGTATGTTTTTTCATATACTTATTTTTTTTCTTAAAAATGGATATCTAATATGATGTTGAAATAATGCAGCTAATTTACTGTGATGAAATTGAATGCAAGCTCCAAAAAATAGAACGTAAAACACCATTAGTTACGATGTGGACAGCAGATAAGTTGAAGGAAAGACAATCTTTTGAGATTGAAGCTGGTGGATTTGGGGTTGGGAATCTAATTGAACAAAGTTCAAATTTAGAACTTGAGAAGAATGAAAATCAGGACACGCGTATTGAGGTATATTCTAAGTAGAATATATTATTAAATTATGTTTTAGAATATATTTTAATTATATCGTAACTTATTATAAGAAAAATATTCTAATGTCTTTTTATATTAGGTTAAAGTATGATTTTATAAAAATCTGGATATTCTTATATTACATGCTTATGGTTCATAGTAAATATTCTAGATATTCTGAGATGATAAAATATTACATGCTCATAATTATATTATTTTATTATTTTTCAGGAATATAAAGATAACTTTGATAAGATGTTCAATAAAGTTTCATCAATAAAGGAGGACATGTATGGAATTGTTTTTGATTGTATATCAAAGTTCCGAGATGTCAATATAACAAATGAATTGAAAGAGAAGTTCATTAAGTTATTTTCAGATCCTATTTTTTCAAGTGCTGATAATCAAAACAATGAAAACAAAAAAAAAAGGGATCACATGAAAGGGTTGAATCTCAAAATGGTGATGAAAGGGTTGAATCTCAAAATGGTGACACAGGGGAGAATTATATAAGTTCTTACAAATCACCATATATGGATAAAGCTGTGAATTTATTTGATAGAATCGATTTGCAGAATGTTCTTTTGATTCAGGTTCTAATAAGATGTGCACAGGAGAAAAATAGAATGTAAGTCACTAACTCTTGGTATAATACATGTGTATATTTATTCTAATGTTGATGACATATTTTTTGTTCATGTTTAAAATTAAGGGAGGTACTTTTTGAAACAAATACGGGAGAGATTATGCATAGACAGGATTTTGAGAGCATGTGGCCTGAACATGTTATACATCATCGTGTGATTGATTCTTGGGCTGCTGTTCTAAATTACGAGGAACAAAAATCAAAAAGTAAACCATACCGCCTGTTCTTCAATACCAAAATTATGGTAAATTCTTTTACAATTGGAACTTCTATATTTTAGTTGTAAATTGTAACAAGATATTCTAATTTTTCTGTTTTTCTATGTTTACAGAGTTCTGAGTTGTTAGATGAAACTAAATCTTTTGACGAGCGTTTTTTAACTTTTGAGACTCGTGTTGATAAGTTTCTATCTAATTTCAAGGCAAATGTAGATTTCAATGATCTTAAACTCGTAAGAATATTTTATTAATTAAAATATTACATTATTAAAAGATAGGAATTATGTTAACTTTTTGATGAATTTGTTGGAATTGCAGGTGGTTTTCCCAATACATAACGGTGATCAGATGTATGTTGTTGTTTTCAACCTAACATATCCACAAGTTCATATTATAGACAGCATACAAACAAAATCGTTAGAAAAAACTTATGGAATGACACCAACATCATTAGTAAGTTTTCATTTACTTTTATTAATTGTATTAAAGTTACAATATAATATATTTAATAATGTAATTTTGTTAATATACATTGCAGAAATTGTACTTTATACGATATTTGGAGAAAACTACATTTATCATCAATAAAATCAAAGGTTTGCGATCAACAACAGTGAAGATGATGAAAATTGACTGGAACACAAAGGAGTTGACAACAGAGAATGGAGCACTTTTAATGAGACATATGGAAAAATATTGTGGAGAAAAGCAAGGAAAGTGGAATGTGGAAATGGAAAAAGGCAGTGATGTGCAAGATGTTCAATTTGTAAAATTACGTGCCTTATATGCTGTTAAGATTGCTACACATGAAATCAACAACCACAAGGATAGAGTTATCAAAGAGGCAATCGAATTTGGAAAATTTGATCATGCGACTAGAAAAAAGATGTTAGAGGAAGGTATCCAAAGGATGGATGAATTGGAAATGGGTAATAGAATTTGATAGAAGTTTGGAATTTTATAAATGTGGTTATGGTGACTTAACAACAATTCCTTTTCTAATATCTGTATTATTTTGAACAAATTAGACAAAAAAAATGATGCCTAGTATTATGTAAGAAACTTGATATGGTTTATTAGGTGATTAATGCTTAATGTATAGTAGGTATTATGATCACTTCTTAATGATATGGTTTATTAGGTGATTAATGCTTAATGTATAGTAGGTATTATGATCACTTCTTAATGACCATGGTAGAATATTCTAATAGAATAATGTATAATGGCATCAGTATTCTATTAGAATAATATTAGATGTTGCATATACCTATATAACATTCTTACATGCATAATCTTGTATTATAATATTTTGATAACAAAGCATTATACTGCAATCATTCGTATATACTTCAAAAAATTAAAGATTGAAAATATTAGAAGAATCAATATGTTCTCAAATGTATAACACATCATCACAACCCAAATGTCTCATACATCATCACAAACCAAAACAATAGAAAAAAATCCAAACTAAAAAATTCAAACTTTTATCTATATGGTATTATTGAACTTTATTGAAATACAAAAAAAATCGAAATATATTTCTAGACACAACTATGCACTTTGTACCTTGGAGTTATTCAACAATGTCAAACATTTCCTTGAATTATGCCCTTTAACCCCACATGTTTTGCATGATCTTGATTGCTTGTTACCTTGAATAGTAGCCTTCTCCAAAGCACTTTTTAAACGTTTTCCTGTACCAGAACCTTTATTCTTCACCATAGGTGGATTTTCAACATCAACAACTTCAGGATTCGTAGTAGCTCCGTAAAGTTTATCAATATGAGCTTCTTTTGTAACCGGTAATTTGTCTGAACCTTGTTCACCAATATCAGTCATAAAAACTTCAAGCTTCTGCATGAACTCTTCTAACTTCTTGTCATCATTACTTAATGAAGACAGGCATTGATCAAGCATGGAAAAAGCTTTGTATGCAACCTTCTCAACATTTCCAGACGAATCACTATATCTAAACGTCCTTTTCAAAACTGTGGTGGGGATAATATCTCTTCTCCATCTCTTAAGAATGTATCTTGACGGAATCTCTTGTATGTCATAAATCTTTAGAATACAGAAGATGTGTCTACAAAAAATTCCAAACCGCTCAAAAAGCATGCATGAACATTTCACCGTTAGATCTTCTCTGTTGAATTCAACCTGTTTCAAAAAGTATTAGCATAATAAGCATATTCAAAAAAGAAAAATTAGAATATTTTTTCAAAATTATTAGAATATTAAGTATATTCTAAAATGTCAACATTACCTCAAAATCACCTTCACTTGTGTTAAAATTCCATTCATAATCGATGTCAACTTTTTCTTTTTTCTCAACTACTACCTTCTTCTTTGATATATTTGTCCTTTTGTGTTTGACAATGAATGAAGAATCTCCCTCTGCACCATGAGAAAAATAGTCCTGGTGTATACCATAGATGCATGTTTCTCCATATCTTCAAGAGGTGTTTTGATGATTGGAATTATAGTAGATGTATCAAAATCAAATTTGATCTAATTATTCCTTTGCCTTTCCATAACAGACTCAAAAGCATTCATAAAATTGTTAACGTATAACCATGATGCGATACCCTATTGAATGTTGAATTCTCACTTTCTGACCGAGAAGTTGTTCTCATTAGACCTGACATCGGTACATCTTTAAAATAGGCTGGAATCCAACTGCTTCTCAAATCAAACATATCTTTCATCCATTTATTGTCTTGCAACTTATATTTTACCATTAATGCATCCCATCTCATTTCAAAATCATTGACAGCAATTTTGGAGTCCCATACTATACTATTGAAGTCCGCCTTAAAATCTGATTCATTCATTGTTTCCCAGCTTACCTTCAAAAACAATTCATATATTATTCTGTTAGAATATAATATAGTATAAAAAGGCATTTCATTTAATCTATTATCCTAATTACAAAAAATATTTCATTTAATATTCTGATAAGAATATTCTGATAAGAATATAACAATAATGTTAGTACCTTCAATGGAAGTTTACTTGTGATATGCCACATACAAAATCTATGTTTTGTGTATGGAAATACTATCTCAATAGCTTTTTTCATTGCTGGATCTTGATCGGTCACGACCATGATTGGTGCTTTTCCAAAACACTTCAAGAATGACCGAAGTAACCAAATATAGGAATTTGTATCTTCTCTACACAACAAACCAGCTCCAAAAGTGACGCACCTTTTGTGATTATCAATGCCAGTAAAAGGTACAAATACCATACAATACCTAAAAAAACACAAAAAAATACCATTAGAATATATAACTAAAAATGTTTATATTTCTAGAATAAATACATGTTTGTACGATATGTTGCGTCAAACGAAACAACGTCCCCAAATAACTCAAAGTTTTGTTTTGAAGTGTCATCAGCCCAAAAGAGAGCATTTAACTGCTTCTTGTCACATCTGTATTCGTATGTAAAATTTGTAACATTCTCTTTACGATTCTGAAGCTTTGTAATCAACAAATTTGCATCAGTGCCCCGGATGTGACAATTTATATCCCTTTTAAAAATTTTCCAATCTATCTCTATTCCATCAACAAATTCACATCCTCCTTTTATAACGCACATTAGTCTATATGTTGTAGTTGCCCCCACCTTTGCACTCGAAAGCTTATGTATAAAAGCTTGATCAACAACATTCAACTGACGTTTAGCTCTTGAAAGATGCATACAATCTTGATTGATCAATTTGTGGTTGTGTTGTTGTTCAAAGCGCCACAGGTAAACTTCTGAAGAATGTGGTATAGCTTTGAATGCAACAAAAGCTTTGCAATTTGTGCGTTTACAATTACTATTTCTCAATTGCTTATTATGATCATCACTAATTGTGTCTAAGGTAGAAGTGTTTGGCAATCCCCCTCTATTGCATATAAAATATTTCGAAGTTGTGATTCCACTCTTTTTCCTCTCTGTTGATTTTCTAATATCAAAACCAGATCTTAATGCATATCCTTTATACCACTTAATAGCATCTTTGATATCTTTAAAAATTGAACCCAAAGTAGGTATCCAACCAGGTTCAACCTCTGGAATCCAAAATAAAGAACCATCAGCTCCAATGAATTGTTTGCAAGAGCCATATTGTGCTGCAACATTGTCACTTTGAACTATAAAAAAGAATATACTACCATGTTAACATATAATCATAATAATTTGCATTCATATGAATGTAATCTAAAAAACCACAATCTTATATGTGCATTATTCTATAAGCATAATATGCAGTAACATGAACTTATCACCAACATCATTCTATAAAGAATAACCGATATCAGTAACAGAATTACCTTGGATTTCCAATTGATTTCCATCATTATCCAGAATCTCTGAATCACCAGATCTGAATTGATGATTTTCTTCATCGTAATGATCATTTCCGATGTCATTCATATCTAAATCATACATAATTGTTACTACATTAAAAATTGAATATGTTATATGCAAATAACAATGAAAACAATGATTACCTTGGGTTTCCGATTGATTTTCCTCGTTATGAAGAAACTCTGAATCAGTATAACCGAACTGATGATTTTCTTCATCAAGATGATTGTTTTCGATGTCATGCATATCCAAATCATCCATAACTGTTATCATTATTGATATATCAATGTATGTAAAATATTCTATAAGAATAACATGCAGTCTCATGAACTTATCACTAAGATGATGTTAATGAAAAGCAAATAGATGTAAATCAAAAGAAAACAGATGACATATTGCTGAAAAACATAATGATTAAATGAAAAGTTAAAAAACAAACAATGAAATAGGTGATGCATTGTCAAACAACATATTATAGATTAAATTGTTTTCTAGCTCAAACAAATTCAACAACAAATGATCTTTGATTGCTGAATTGGATGTCTCAACAAAAGATGATGTTTGATTTCTGAAATCACAAATCATACAAATATAAAATTGGAGAAATCGATAATAGTTGATGATTCAATTCATGAACTAGGTTAGAAATTGAATACGTTATATGCAACTAACAGTGAAATCGATGAAAACTCAAACCTTCATCAATTAATGATTTCATGATGTTGAGTAAAATTCACGGCTTGAAAGATCGTAAACAATTGTTGAAGATGAGGATTAGAAGAAATCGTTGAACACTTGAACCTCTACCGAAATCGATGATCACAAAGTTAAAATTGATCAAAATCACTCAGCTTATCGTGAATTGCAGATGAAGAAGAATCAAGAACATGAACTCGAATAACACAAAAATCGTGAATTTAAAAGCTCTGATTTAGCATCGTTCGATCAATGTCAAAAATCAAAATCGATTATCGGTTGAAAGAATATAAGATTGGAGATAGAATATCGATCAAATTGAATTGAAGAACAATGAATGTTGTTTCATCGTATAAATTGGTAGAAACAGGTGAGATGATTTCTGGATGACGTGAAAATTAAGCGAACCTGATATCTTAAATTTAACCTAGTGACTAATCTACCCCTAATTAACTAATCAGCTAGATTAATTAATGTTAATCCTTTTTTTATGAGCCACAAGATCAAATCTAATCAAAGGCTCAGATTTGGTCCCCATGTCTCACAAAATATAGGTGATCTCAAATGAACCTATATATATATATATATATATATATATATATATATATATATATATATATATATATATATATATATATATATATGTGCATTGTAAAAAAAATGCATTAAAAAAAGTTAATAATAATTTCAAAAATTAATATTAAAAAATATAAAAAATACATTTTTTATTCGTATTCATATTTTTATGCCAATAAACATTCAAAAAAAAAAAAAAGAATATGCACTTTTTTTACTCTCTTATTTTCACATTTCTCATCCCATAACATATGAAAGTTCATCTTTCACATCTCTTCCAACTTATTAAATTTTCATTTTTCTTTCATTTTTCAAATTAAACTTTAAATAATTTAATAAAAAAACTATAAAAAGATTAAAAATAACATTTCACTGAAAAAACACACTATGATAAAATATAAATTAAAATCTTAAAATGAAAATTAAAATGAAAGTTAAAATGGAAAAAATAATTGAAGTATTACAAACAGTAAAATAAAAAAGAACCAACAAATTAAATCCAACTACAATCACTAATAAATTCTAAATAAAATGATGACTTTTTAAAGTGTTTCACACTGCCTCGTAAGGAATTTTTTTTTGCTATGTTGTTCGCGATACTCATTTTTTGTTGCGTTTAAAACTTATTCATTGGAAACTCTGGCCTCTCGGGCATTCATTTGGTGGGTGAAATAACATTAAACTCTTTCGGGATCGGGCAATCCCATCTCAACTCGCCGAGTCCCGACCCAACTCGTCGAGTTTCCCCTGCAACTCGACGAGTTGCCTCCTTTTTCATCAGGATTGAGCAATCCCAACTCAACTCTCCGAGTCCCTCTAAGAGCTCTTCGAGTTCTTCAGTCTGTCAAAACCACTTCATGCATTAAGTCCTTATTCTTTAAGTCCAAGGTCCTATCTTCTGGATCTAGGCTAGAAATGCCTCTAAAAGGGTAAAGTGTCCAACTTTACCCGTTAATACCCCCCCTTAGGAGATGTAGCTCAAACCCTAACTCTAAAAGACCTAGATCTTAATCCAAAAGCCATAAAAACTTCAAGATAGGGTATACAAACAGAGATCTAGACCTTAGAGACTAGATGAACACGTAAGTCTTCATCTTTCTCTTCATGCATGGCTATTTGGAGCTTAAAAGGACAAAGTGATGGTTTATAGGTTGCATGGGGGATTCTATGGCCATAAAGTTTGCACATTTATGCCATGAAAGCCCTTCAAGACCCTAGATTTGAAAAGGTATTCACTTGGGACGTTCATTTCCCAAGGATCATGATATTGTGACCAAAAACCAAGTAAAAATGCTAAGAAGGAGATCTAAGCAATTATTCAACAGACTTGTTTACCATAAAATGATGAGAATGAAGCAGAGTTTATGGATCTATAAGCTCCTTCTTGAGTCCTCATGCCTTTCCTTCTTCCACAAGCTTCAAGCACACAAAACTCTCTCAAGAATGACTCACAAACTCTAACAATTGCCTTAGGGTTTCGAGATTAGGGTTTTAGATTTGGAGGCTGGAAACAATGCCAAACGCTAGGGCTTAATTTGTTTAAATAGGGTGCAAAGTCCCGATTTTAGGGTTTCCCATGCCACGACCAACCCGTCGAGTTGGTCCCCTCCAACTCGTGGAGATGTTCTTCAAAAATACGTGTGACTCATAATTCCTACTCGTCGAGTTTATGCCTTAAAATTGACGAGTTAACCTTAAAATGAGGTTTTATTTTTCATAATTAGCCTTCTTGATTCTGGGTGTTACATGGTGACTATCAAATTCATTGGTGGACACGTATAATTCTAATTACAAGAGGCTATAGAAAAATTAAACTCATATACCTGAAATTGTACGATTACATATTTAAACAACATGTGTTATATTTAATTAATAAAATATGTATGACCTTTCTTATATTTCTTATAGGTATGTTGGTTTGCAATTTACAAATTATATTTACATTTATGGTCCCTCAGTTATTCTTGTATTAACACCATATATCATTCAAGTTACACTATAGTCCCTTAACTATTTATTAATAAAATCATTATATCGTTTATAATAAAATCTTATCCAAATCATTTAATTTGTTCTTATCCAAATTTATAATCAATAACCAATGTCGTAAAAAGTATTAGATCAATTATTATCGAAAAACGGGTGTAACGGAAAAATTATCGTTTCACTACGTGGGTTCACCCTTAAATGTATTTACATCATATAATTTGTAGTTTTAGGTTCGTTACAACCTTCGTTAAGATTATTTATCATAAATACTCTTTTTAGTTTTAACGTTTGTTTTAGCCACATTTATTAAGTTTTAAAAATAAAACTTTTTTTACACAAATATTATATACACATAATATTTGTCAAATGTCCACGCATATAACATATACTCGAATAATGTGACAACCTGAAATTTCTATCTTGTAAAGTTAGTTAATTCAATCAAATGTCAGACTTGTTTTTGCTATCTTTTAGCTTTTTAAGGGTCCGTTTGAATGTTCTAAGCCTAGTACATTCAAGGATCGAGTGTTAGGAAGTATTTGCTAGAGTTCATTGTGCATCATTCAAGCCGGAAAACTCCAACACTTGGAGTTTACGACCATAAACTAGAGATTACGGTCGTAATCTCTTAACTGGCTGTGAACTCCTCCCATATACATGATATTCCTTCATTTTTCACCATTTCTCACAATTCCAACTCAAGAAACTCGATTCTCTCTCAAGTATCATCAAGAACTTTCATCTTGATCTTCAAAAGTGTAAGTGATTCTTCCATTTATTAGTTGATACCTTGCTTATTCTAGTGAAACTCTATGATTTCATCCATGAAATTATCTATTTTGGATAGATCTTCGAATCTTCATCACTTACACCAAGAACACATACTATTTCTTTGGGTCGTGAACACCCCCCCCCCCTTCAAGCTTCAAAACGTAAGTATCCTTCCATATACTAGTTATCCTTTAGAAGCTCTTGACATACACCCTTGAAAACAACCATTCCTTAAGAACAATAAGAGTTTGGGGCCATAGCATCTCCCTTGACCGTAAACCCCTATGAAGAACATCAGTGGCCGTGAACATCTTTGACCGTAAACTCCCTTGGCCGTAAACAATATGGCTGTGAACATACTTGTGCGGCCGTAAACCCCTTTAGTACAATCACATGTGATTGTAACACTTCAATCAAAGTATTTCCTAGTCCCTAAGGTGGTTCCCTATCATGATTAGTTGTTATATACACTAATTATATACATATATCTGCCATTATATACTTAATAGGATCCGTTCATGCTCGAGGCTTCACTTGACACTTGCATCTTATATCGATCTTACATTCGAATAACTCACTACAGGTGAGTTCATACCCCTTAACTTTCCTTTTATTACTTTTAAATGCTTTTATGGGGGGGAGGGATACAAGTAGAAAACATTATGTTATTATTGCAATTGATGATGTTGTTGCTTGTTTTACTATTATGCATTGTTATGATACTGTACATGAAATCCTCCACCCAGAATGTTTTCCGCCGTTCCGATTTTGGGGTGTGATAGATTGGTATCAGAGCTCTGTTTATAGTGAATTGACTATATCAACCCATAAAAGATATACAACTATAAACACAACGAGATTAAAACACTCTAACCAAGAGTATATACTTTTTAAATAATAAAATATTTAACTAAAGTATACATATCTACAACTTACTACAGAACAGTGTCATACTAGAACATAACAAAAGTATTAGATGTTGGACATTACACTCAAACCTAAGCAGTTATGTAATCATATATGGGATCAATATAGCCTGATCAACTATATTTATTTGAGATATGATGAACATGTGTTGGGGAGTGATAGTGGTGTTGCGACAGGTCTAAAACTTACCTAACTATACATATAATGCATACAGAAGAATGTTAGAACAAAACATAAAGTAAAATACTATAGGAGTATTTTAGGCACTATTCATTCAAAGAACAAACTTCATGAGAAGAGAAGGCTTTTACTGA